TGATAAGTGCCTTTCATCCCCCCTACAGCCCTGGCTTTGCTGCCTTTGGAGCAGTGATAAGCAAGTGCACATTGTTGGCTAGCCTTGCCTTGCCTGCCTCCCACACATACACCCTCACACAAGGGACAAGACTACACACAAATGACTGGCTCACTGAAAAATCACATTTACACAACTGTCCCCTTACCCCAAACATAGTAGATTGGCCAAGACATGTTTGGTGTTCAAAGTTTGCATATTTCATTTAGGCTGACGTAATAGAAGTCTTGTTTGAAGTTACTTGTTTGCTACTAGGGCTGAAACCACTACTTGATGGCAGTGATCAGACAGTGAAAGAAAAAGAACAATTATGGCTGAAAGTCACAAATGTAAAGTGTAAAGTTGTCACATTATTGTAGCGTCCCGCTACCGGCTCGTGTGGCCATGGAAATGCAGGAGGTGTGGACATGCAGAGAGGCCACATGCACAGGCTCACAGGTGCGCCACACTTGCAGTAGAAGAGAGTTTAAATCTTGTAAACTGTAGTCACTGCTAGTCTAGAATGTGCATATGTGTTTTATGAACTGGGCTGTGGAGGTTTGTTAGTGGGGTTGTGTCACGATCACGAACAGACACTATATGGCGAAAGATGACCTGCCCCGCTGCCCTGGCCATTCACAAGGCAGTTATCCCCTGCTGCTGTGTTCAATAAAAGAGCATTCCCTTAAAGTGCTATGTTTCCTGCATCTTATTCTATGCTGATGCCACAATGTTCAAGTGACTTAGCTTTCCATGGTAGCACAATATTTCTTTCGAAGACCAGAAAAGAAAACATGCTGTTGAATCGGAAGCAGTAGAACAGTCAGTAATCAGTAGCTTTCCCTCCTTGCCGGTGTTCTGACAAACTGTACTACTCCCTGAGGGCACACTGTAAGTGATTTGTCAGAATGAGCGACAGTCACCCTTGCAAACACTCTTGCAAAGCTTAAGCTCATCATAGCGCATTACTAATGTTAGTCATGAATACTAAACTGTATCAGTTTCTGTTATTCAAACATTTAGCAGCTACTTCAAAAAACTACTGAACATTCAGCAGCTCGTCCTGTCACAGTGTTTTCTTTCTTGCAGCATTGTATTCTGAGCTAATTCACCATTTGTACGTAGTTAGCTAGCTTGTGTATGTAACAGTAGCTACCTAACCAGGTACAACTAGTGAATTAGCTTAAAATACAACTCATTTTGTAAGCCTGTCATCCACTCGTCCTGGAAGCCTGTTCACCCAGAGCTCCTCTAGTAAACCAGTGTGTTCAAATGTTAAACCAGTTCAATGATGCTGCAACGTGAAGAACTATAACAATAACCTATTATTTATTTATTACTATGTTACTTAGATATTGCTTATTACTTACTGTAGTTTACAACTATAGCAGAGTTAAAACACTGTTTTTCCATGGTGGGAGCTTCTCTTGGTGAACAGTTCCTCACTTTGTCAGAACATTTTCAAACATTTTATCGTAACCGCTCATCATATTTACAGGTTATTTTTGAGCCAATTAGTCGATTATTTGTATAATATAATACCATAAATTACAAAATAGACATATTAATTAGTATAATAGTATGTATTATGAATAACAGAATATCAAAATACATTAGTCTCATAACTCAAGTACAAATCTAAAGAAGAAAAATTCAGACACCAACATGTCTTGGCCAGTCAACTCTGTTTAGGGTAAGGGAGAAATTCTGTCTATCTGATTTTTTGGTCTACCATTCCTTTAAACCCTCACTGCAGTGGAAGAACTTTTCATTTGACAACAAATGGCATGACCATCTCTCTCTCTCTCTCTCTCTCTCTCACTCTTGCTACTCTCTGTCCTCACTTCTTTTTTTCCTCCTCCGAGTCCTATTTTTTATTCTCCTCCTAAAAGGATTACAACACAATCTAACTCTTGAGACATGACTTGAAATTTTTAAACGTTTGATGTGCAAAGCATTCGAGAGGTTGGGGAGAGCTCTTAATCCATCGATCGTGAAGGAACGCAACACAGAACCATCCCAGGAGCACCGAAGATCAAACCTGCACTTTAAAAGCAATCTTGTAACAGTCCAGCCACCCACCGGATGTGTTATCTATGGAGCCTACACACGGCAGACAGGTACAACTGATGCGCACAAACCTTCCACCATCTTCTCCCGACACCAGTGAGTCACAGGGTTAGCAGGCCCCAGGGGGCTGCTGGGCTCCAGAGGGCAGCCCCCTGCAGCCAAGTTTAGCTGGCCATTATCACCTCCTCTCTTGCTGGAGATAGAAAACATGACAGGCAGCTGGTGCCTTCATTCTGAGCATTCCTCTACACATCCCGTCCTCAACAAAGCTTGCTCCTGAAACTGAAAACAAGCCTCTTCACACTCAGAGACAGTGCACGCTGCACCTTCCAGGCTGCCACCTGTGAGTCGACAATAATCTGACAGAGAGTGCCTTCTTGTTTTTCAGCTTGAACAGACAGTGGTTAGGTAGTTTATTAGCTACATTTTATTCTCTTCCACACATTTCACAGGCTGTGAAGTAAGGATCTCTTTCAGATTGAAGTTCAGGCACTGACAGAGAGATGTTCAGCAATTTGAGCTCAGTTTAAAGCTAAAATGGGGTTGAAGATTATAAATCACCCATGTTCAATGTTTACATTTCATCTGATAAGAAAATGACACATAGAACTTGCCCTGCTTGGTCTAAAGCGCTAGAAACTCTTACAGTTATTATATTAGTTCACAAATAAATTAGGATTTTCTATTGTTTTGCTAGAGATCCATAGGCATATATCACCAAAAGCCTCAACTTCATACAACAGCTGACATTTACAGGGGAATACCACAGATTTTTCAAATGTTGTGCATAATTAAATGGTCAAGATGTAAACAAAGTCATTCAGAGTGGTTTGATCTGAAATGCATTCTATAGAAACTTACAGACTTATTCATGCTGGTAGTACTAGGAACCAGACGTCTGAAGAGTTTATTATTGAAAGTTATTAATGAAACGGTTATGAACACCTGGCACCTGAGACATTGCTTTATAACAGTTTTGAGAGAAAGGTTTGGCTTTTTACAATCCGTTCATGGTGGAGGAGCGTATGCAGTGTGTTGTGATGCTAAATAATTGCCAAAGAAAACTTAATTTTTCAGTTGATTAATCAGTGTGTTACCATCATCAACATTACACAGAAAAGCTTACAAGACACATGTAGGTTCACTAGAGGTTTTAAATAGTAAATATATTGTAGATATCGCTGCAGACATCTGGTTCCTATCACCGCCATGGTAAAGAAAGCTGAGTTGGTAAGCTTCTCTCCAATGAACCATTTCACATCAATCACTCTGAATGACTTTGTTTACATCTCATTGAATTAATTATGCAGAAGTTTTGAAATCCACTGAATTCCCCTTTAAGTGACATTAAATTTTTAGTCATATTTTGATCGATTTGACAAATTTCTTCAAATTTATTCTCAGGCAAACTCAGAGAACATAAAGATCAGAGGAAAATAAAAAATCCAGACACAGAAATTATGAAGTTAAAATTTAGTGCAGGAGCAAGCCTAAAATCATACCCCCCTGGGAAAATATTACATCCATAACATATACTCTATAATCCATAACATGATCAATAATCTCTGATATGTTCAGTAGCTCATGTTTGGTCTGGGCCTCCTGATTCATTCAGAACTTTTGCAATTTGCTAATTTCATGTTCCTGAAAGTAGAGCTGCAGAATATTGCAACACATTTTCCATACACAATACACAATACGTATTATGATGTTTAGTTTTTCTAAAGTTTGATAAATTTGAACAGATATGATGCACCTGTAGTGCAATATTTTAAAAAAGCAAGTTTTAGTTATTCAACTCCTAATAAGCAGGGCCATTTATGCTCTCTTGGACTTCCAGCTTTGCTGGGATTCAAACTGGTCATCTTCTAAAAATTGATAAGATACACCACTTAGGAAAAAACGCACCACTTTTTAATGAAACATGCGCTTGGGCAGCAATGGTGAAGTACTGACAACACTAACTACAGGTGTACCAATTTAAATAATAAAAAAAAATAATTTTTTTTTGATAATTGGGGAAAAATGTTCGAAACTATATCAAAATTTCAAAACTGCATTGCCAGTACTCCTTACTTTCTGCCTTTCATAGGAACCACTATTAATGATCAAAATTTGGGACCTATATGCATCCTCTCTATTTTTTTTAATTGCTTTTATGGTTTAAAAATCAGTTGTACTGATTTACGAACTCATTATTTTGTAATCTTTTTTTTAAATAAAATGTTTTATTGCGTTTAGTATACAATTAGAGCAGATTTTCTTTACTTTCTGTATAATTAACTGCTAACAAATTCATTCAGAGTGGCTCGATGTGAAATGCTTCGTTGTAGAGAAACTTGACGGGTGATAGGAACCAGACGTCTGAAGAGTTTACTGCCTCACAGAAAGTTGTTAAATGTTTATGAATACTCTCCCTGATGGCTTAGACGTTAAGATAGTCATGAGATGAGGTTTCGCCTTAAAGCTATTTTTAATATGTATTCATGGCACAGGGGTAACTTTAGGATGTTGTAAGGCAAAATAAGCCCCCAAGAAAAATGTTTAATTTTTTAACTTTTACCATCAACAACATTACACCTAAAAATTTAGAAGACACTGAGTAGCGGTAGATTCACTGGTGGTTCTGCAGAGTAAATAAAGCTGATATATTTGTGTTGTAGATTTTGTGATTCCTGGCTCATATCACCACCACTGTAAAGAAATCAGTAAGTTCTCTACAATGAACCATTTCACAGCAAACCACTCTTTGTTTACATCTCAACAGCTAAATTATGCAAAATTTTGAAACACTGGTGGAATTCCCACTGTAAAAATCGTATCAAGCCAAAAAAAATATGCCCATATCGCGATAGCAATATATCGTCACATCACCCAACCCCTAAATGAAAGTAACTCCACCAAATACTTACACTGTGAAGTGATAGACGAAGCATTTCCAGCCTGAAGGTCTTTCCAAAAAGTTATACACGCGTCCTTGGAAGTAGGCTCGAGTGAGGACGGGCCGGGTGGTGCTGTAAACGGACATGCGGTGGCCATAATAGCCCCCGCCGTACAGGTGAGATGCTCGGCGCTGGGTGCTAACCGTTCCCGCGGGAGGGAAACCGTCCGGGGAGAGCCGGGTACCGTCCAGAGGAGCCGGGCTTCGGGCCAACGACGACGAGCTTTTCTTCCTGCTCGACTTTCCGGGTGGGATATCCGACATCTCCAGTCCTGGCTGCGTTTTCCCTGGATGTTCACCAGCTGCAGACACTCTGACAGTCCAGGTGTTGGTCGCATTTTGAGCTGGAGTGGTCATACTTTTAGCGGAGTTGTAGAGCTTAGCTTAGCTTCTCATCGGAGAAGGAGCGCGCGCCAGCCTAGCTGAGTTACTTGGCAACAGGTTTTTTTTCTCTACAAAGTTTCAAGAGTCACTTTCTCCGCTTTAACGACAGACTAAAACGTGAATTTTTGTCCTCTAGTCAACATTTTCAGAGATAAAGTTAGCATATTTTGACCGGACCGTGGAGGCATAATATAGACTACGTGTCTGTCAAATCGAGTTCACTCTGTGTTGACATTATCACAACTGACAGCCGGTCGCCTGTTCAAATCTTACTGCCTGTGGCACCGTTGCTTTTTTCCCCACCCGTATTCCGTAGCCCCGCCTCCTGCACTGCGATTGGTTAATAGCATCCCGCCCCTTAAGCTAGGATTGGCTAGAAACATTTGAAAGGCGGACTGCTTATGAGTAGCCACCCCTACAAATGGAATCTGTACGCTAATAGCCAATCCTAGCGCAGGAGGCGGGGCTACTGAATACGGGTGGGGAATAAAATAACTCCCCGTTATAGTAACCGTTTTTGACGAGTGACGTGCCAGGAAACGCCATCAGGTGGACTCAACTAGGTTATGGACAGATTAAAACGGACATCTGTCATCCATTCACAGTCTCAGTCATCATTTTTTAATCAGTAATAAATTAAATATCAGTGGACATTTCATACAGCATTACAAATGTAGCCCACATTAAAACAGGGCCAAAACTGTTTTCTAAAACCTTTGCACACTGTGTTGAATGATATGCATCACCTGTTGCTGCCGATATGTGCCATATAGGTGAATCTCATTGCCACTGATATAACCTTCCACATTTTAAATGTATCTGCTTGCACTGGGGGGTGAAAGTGTAAACTCCTTCTGGATGACCTTGAATTCCCGCTGGCTCATCCTTGGACATTAGGGGAAGCATTGATTCGCGGAGCAATGAGTTTTTACTGAAGTCATGTGGCACCCAAGTGGTGACAGATCCTGTTGTCAGGCAGATATTACGATAGGCAGACAGAGATGCAGACGGAGATCATCTGAACTGAGAGAGTAATACTTAGACCTGCACACTGGATTAGGTCCATGAAGGTCAACTCATGTTCGTTTCCCTCATGATTTCATGCTGTGAAAAAAGGGTTTTAATGGAAGGAAGTAGAGATGGCATGGTAGCACTTTTTCATTTCTGGTACCAATAGAGTATGATCCATCTTTTTCGCTCTTTAAACCTATGAAGCTTTAAAATAATAAGACCTCTGAAGACCCAAACTTTGTAGTTTACTGCATTTTTCATTTGCCCATGCTATTTGTAACTTGTAGCACCTGTTGACTATGTATAATTATTGTATAATCCTTGACCAGGAGGACAGCAGGTTCATTTTCTTGTAAAAATTTAGAGTTTATCGGTATAAAAGGCGTGTAGCTGGTATGAGTCTAAAATAACTAAGTTGCAACTTGTTTCCTGCAGTTAAAAACTTTGAGAGGAAGCTCTGTGCACAACTTTGTGCAGGTAAAACAAATAAACAACAGCAAGTCAAAAAGTGTACCACCTACTCACATGTGAATTCATATCTGTTTAGAATGCATTAGAATGCATCTGCTTATTCTGAATAATGTAGCCTATTCATATTTGTTTGTGTCTCTACAGCATACAGAACTCAGTATGGCCTACAAACTACAAATGCATTCAAAATAACAGTGCAGCTGTTACCATTCTACAGGGCTAAAAGTCTCTGCTTTTCTCTAATGTCAAATGCTGAAATAGTTGCAAGCACAGAAACATGTCACATCATTTCATTTCATATGGCATATGCACATTGTATGCAAAACAATAGAAACTAAAATACACATGCAGACTAAATAGTGAATGTGACACTGTAGGCTGATTAAAAATATGATGTATATTAGGCAACCTATTGGTTTGCAAGGCTATTAATATGCATAAACTATACAGGAACATTCACCCACTGTCCTCATAGGAGTACAACATATTTAATCCTATGCTGACTTATTAATATTGCTTAAACGTGTCAAAATAGTGCATCAGACCAAACTACAAACTTGCCTGTTTTTGTATGCGCTCCTCCCAAAAGGTGAGTTTGTAGAGATGGGCACCTTCTTTTTTAAACACTGTAGCAACATGCTGTGCTACTGATACTCCTAGACAGCAGCACAGTCTGTCCCTATTTGGGAACATCAGTTCTAAACTCAAACAGTAACATACAGGGCACAAGGAAGCCAAAATGTGATGTCCTTATATTAGGATGCAGAGTTTCCAAGGTTAAAGGGCCATTTAATGGAAAACTGAAATTTTGGAGAAGTATGTAAAAACTGTTAACACTTCAAAACATACCATTCACTCCCTTACCTATACACCCATATTTGGAACCTAAGTGGCAGAAAAAGACCATTTTGGATTCATTGTTTTTTTGGTATCACCAGTGTGTTTACATGTATCCACCTATTTAGCCAAGAGCAGTTTAGCTCTATTGAAGTAATAAAAAGCATTTAGCTCTATCTTCCTTCCAATTTTAAAACCATCAGGTTACAGATGTGTCCACCCAACAAAAGTTGTTAAAATGTGTCACTGACATTACATTGCCCTTCATTTAAGTGCCCCTTATTAATCCCACAACGGGGCAATTTCACCTCTGCAATTTAACCCATCCGTGCAGTGAAACACCACATACACACTAGTGAACACACACACACACTAGGGGGCAGTGAGCACACTTGCGCGGAGAGGTGGGCAGCCCTATCCATGGCGCTGGGGGAGTAGTTGGGGTTAGGTGCCTTGCTCAAGGGCTCTTCAGTCACGTACTGTCGGTTCAGGGCATTGAACAGTTGACCTTCTGGTCACAGGGCTGGTTCCCTAACCCCCAGCCCATGACATAGGTGCACTAACATTCACACAAGCAAATATCCACACCCAAGCTGCTTTCACACTTCTTTCGCATGAGAAGATTAAGAGACTCCATTTGCCTAGGGGAAAAGACAGGTGTTTCCAAAACTGGAGTTTTAAAAAATTAGTAAAATATATATAGAAAACTGGGCTTCTAACAACCATGCAAAACTTGGTAGTCCACCAAAACTGCCCCCATCAGATAAACAGCATTTAAAGCTTTCATCTTTGAGAGAGAGGAGAAAATCAAGCTCCAATTTTGCTTCAGATCTGAAAATGTCCACGGGAGTTTATGTCCATCCTTCCATTGTGAGAAGACAACTCATCTGAAAGGATGTGCAGCTGTCAAGAAGCTCTTACTAGGAACAGAAATAGACAAAACAGAGAAAATTTGCAATTGAACACTGAAACTGGATATCTGAGATGTAGAGCAAGAAAGCTCAGACCTCAACATCTTTGAATGTGCTTGGGATTACTTTAATTGTGAGAAGTAAAAAATGCAACCAGCTTCTAAGACTGAACTTTGGAGGTGTACAAAAATATCCCTGCAGATTTCTTTGAAAAACTGAAAGCAAGTCTCCCAAAAAATGGAAGCTGTAATGAGGCAGTGAGTGGACACATTAAATACTGGTAAATAAGATGTGACATAATATTTACTTGTTGAGGCTTCTGTGTAATTTCTGTTTATATATTTTACTGAAAAATGAATTTGTTTGCTGCAAATGAATTTGCACTTGATGGTCGTTTTGACTGGAAATTAAATAAATGACAGGGTGCTTTTGCATAGTACTGTATCCAAACAGTCATGATAAGTGGACCTCAAAGGAAAGAAAATGCAGGAAAAAATCATTCAGATGGACTGTTTCCAAAAAATACTTAAACATTATACTTCCATATATAATAAAAACAACCCAGAATCAGATCTGATTTATTCTTTTTTCCCTTATATCTGTTCCAGGATTTCTGCTGTTATCAGCCCTGGACTGACGGCAGGTATCATATTTTTGTCATGTCTAATAGAAGAGCGCATTGTTGTGCCAAGTAATGGACTCATTCGTTCATAACAAATATGCAGAGGCAGATATTTATATGCGATAAAGTAAGGCCAGTACAGAAGCATATTCATCCTGTGTAGCAGATTACTTTGCTGAGATTTCATGAGTACACTACCAGCTACAGTGTTGCTTTCAGAGGGAAGACTGGAGCAAGCAAAAGGCTGATGTTTGTCAAGGCCGGTTTCACACACGTACACACACTGAAAACACATAGGAGCAAGCTGTGAGGTTTGGAGGGGGGCATGCATCTTGCATTTAGACAAGAAAAGATTAAGGTTTTAGGATTCCTTTGTGTTCCACTCAGCTGCAAACAGATACAATATGTATGAAGGGAGGGAACACATCCAGCAGACATGAATTTCTAGTGCCCTCAAAACACATTTGAATGATTAATGGTATACATGTATGTCTTATTATACATGTTAACCCCTTAAAACCCCTGCCTCAGGCTTATTAATCGATGACTACAAGGACTGAGTTATTCTTAAATTAGAAGGACGTAATAGATGCTTGGCCCTGTCACGAGGTTAAATGACTGTCTTACCTAACTGAACTGAAGGTAACTAGAATTCATTTCTAGAGACTGTATAGACTTAAAATAGCATAGGTGAGACAGGTGACGAAGCTGGATGAGTCAGTGCTTATGTAAAGTGTCTCCTGGTTAAATCCTGTTAGTTTTAGTGCTCGTTTGTGGCCTAGATTGGCTGCTGTGTCTTACAATGTACAGCAGAGTGCAGCATTACAGCAAATTAGTCTTGACCTCTCTTCTCTCTCTGGATAAATGGGGAACAGAGTACAAATTTGACCTCATGTTAACTTAAGTCTGACAGAGATACTTCTATTCACATCCCTTTGGCTTCACTGGATTATGAGCCGTTAGCCGAATGAGTAATTTTGCATCAGCTACTGAGAATCCAGCCAAAGTGGATTTTGAATACATATTGAGATTAGAGAGCATTTCAGACCATACATCGTAACTATTGTTACAGCTCTGACATTAATATTTTATGATGAGCATAAAATGCATTGTTAGTGTTAAATATTTATCCTTTTAAAGAGAATCCTTAGTTATTTCATGAAGAATCATGTGCATGCTGTGTAAAATTTATGGAATATTCACATATATTGATTTCATACATGATGTTTTATGGAGGCTTCAAGGCCAAAAGGTAAATTAAAATATTCTACTATATATATAACCCGAAATGTGTCACATCTATGAGTGAAATCAATTAGTTTCAACATCACAGGCCTTGCCTGGCAACACGTCCAAAGCAGGATCATTAAATTGCAACAAATTGTTTTAATGACC